ACTCCAGCCTAGGCAACAGACAACAGAGGATGACCCTGTCTCCAAAAATAGGAAAAAAAACAACCACCACCACCACCAACTATAACATTCAACTTCCTAGATCTTTAATTACAAAAGAGATTTAGGAAAAAATATGCACTTTCTCACTGAATAGATACAGATATATAGGGAGTGTGTACACACACACACACACACACACACACACACACACACACACACACATTCTTTCTGATGACTTAGAATATATTCCCCTGAATTTCTCTTAATAATAAGATGAACAGAAGAAAAATCTGGTCTGACTACTTAGATGATGTAATTACAATAGCTTCCTAATTTAGCCTGGTGTAATTAATTTAATTAAATAGATTTGATATACTTGTTTGGATCAAGGCCATATATTCAGAAAGTACCTACCTGTTCAAATCCAAATATGTGCTCAAAAGGAATAGCACATACTATTAGGAGCCATTAACAGAGAGGGAATACAAAACAGAATGTCACTCTATTTGTGAGGGTAAGGGGGAAGAAACCATGAGAGAAACAGTAGAGAATTCACTAACATCTGGGCTAGGGGTACTGTTTTGGAAGTTGTCTTAGATACTTTGTGGTTCAAGGTATGTTATGAATAAACACTTGCTGTCAAACACTCCATCCTTCTAATAGATATGCATGGTCTGGAAAGATCTTTTAAGAGTCAGTTGGAACAAAGCTTCAAAGAAGCAGATTCACAGTTGGATCCACAGAGGGAGAATGGGAGACAATTGCATTGTATTGTAACATTATCATTCTGATTCAGGGAGGCAGTTCATGATATACTGGGTTACTTGTGTTTTTTGTTTGTTTCTTAACAATGCTAGTTCTGATCTTAACAAACAAAAACAAAACATCTGCTACTAGATATCCCCACTTCCACCTTCCCCCACAAAAAACCTAGTTTTTCATGATCAGTCTTAACTATGAAGGACTATGTTTTCTGTGGAAGATTTTATATCTTGCAGTATAAATAATACAAATAGTCCTTGTTTACTTCATGAAGTATTACAGTAAAAAATGTATTGTGTGTTTCTAGCTAGAATCCTTCCCGTCACCTAGAATGTAGGGTTCTACCTTCCATATGAATCTTATATCCTGTCAAAATTCAACAAGAAATGTCAACCAACATGCCCTATGGCATTCTTCATGGCTCCTTCTGCCAGTCACTTACCAAAGTGCTTTCATCTTTAATTTCCCCATGAGTGTACATCATGAGACAGTTGGCAATTGCCCAGACAGACTTTAGATGTTAAATATTATTCAGACAAACCTAGTAAATGGCATCTGTAATAAAGAACTGAGAAACAAAGAGATTACAGTGTTTCATTCCATCTCAGCATCCTCAGGAGAACAGAGAGCAGGAGGCAAACCCAGAAGTGTTTATATACTCCCTGAGCTGTACAGAGAAAGTTCACAGGAAGCAGTTAAACAGGCAGCAACTGAGCCCAGCATCTCACTGGAGTCTTTGGAATCTTGCTGCTTTATGCAATTAAAAGCCAGATGGAAGATATACCATTGCAAGTCGAGCTTGATGTGAATAGAGTCTGATTTTCAGGGTAGCTCTTCTACCAGGTGGGCCTCAACAAAAATCTTAACAAAGAAAACCTTCCTGTAGGAACTGGTTGATCCCAGAGGTGTGGTCACTGTTCACTGCTATGTAAGCACTTAGATCCTGGCTGTATCCCTGCCTCCCCAGAAACTGCTGGGGAAAGGGAGAAAGCCCAGGAGAAGTTCTGTGCTGTTTCTGATGTGAAGGCAAAGAATGCTGTGGCATGGTTGCAGCGGGCTGCAGGTCCACATGTAGGATTTACTCAGAGCTAACCCAATGCGGCTTCATGCTCTGAAGAGAAGTCAAGCCAGGCAGTCTGCCAGATGTCACAGTGTAGAAACTTCTGTCCTAAATTCATCTGCCAGTAGGCTTCCCCAAGTATCATTTTATCCTCTACTTCTGCTATTCTGCCTCCCAGCTCCTGTACCATCTCGTAAATGAAGCTTACCATATATCTTCCAGCTGAATGCCTTCTTTCGTCTTCTGGTTTTAGCTCCACTGCTTGCCCGTCTACACTGTCCCATAACACTGCTGCCTTGTGTTATGTACAGTTGTGTATATGTCTGTCTCTCCCACGAGTTTTTGTGTTCCTGAAGGGAAAGGTCTAAGATTCTTATATTTTTGTTTTTCTTATTGTAGTCACTCAATAAGTATAATAATATGGCATTTACTGAATACTTCTTATATGCAGGGCACATTACATATATCATCTCATTTAATCCTTATAACTCTGTAGCATGGTAATAAAGATCTTGGGCTCTGGAACAAGATCACCTGTGTTCAAAGCCTTGCCCTTGACACAAGTGGGATTCCAGTGGTCTTCTGATTTACAGCCTCAACTCCATTCCACTCCCACAGAAAGCACTGTAGATTTAATTGGATTAGACCCATTAGCTAAGAACCAATCTCACTTCTACCTCTTATCATTAAGCAATCCTAAGACAACTCTCATTCATGTGTGATCTAACGCATTTAGGTTTTTAGACCTATAACAGATAGTGATTTAGCTCATCATACCAATAATAACAGTTCTTTTTGTTTCTTTAGTATTTTGCTATTTTCATAGTTCTTTCACATAAATTACCTCCACTGATCTTCACACCATCCATGTGAGGTAGACAGGGTGACTATGATGTTTCCATTTTACTGATAAGAACACTGAAGAAGAGAAGCAAAATGACTTGACGTTGTGTCATAGCCAGACAGTGGTGGAGTTACCACTGGAGCCAAGATCTTCTAAATCCATCAATAGGATTCTTGCTTCTGCCTTGCCTGGTACCTCAGTGTCACTCGTGTGTACACATATACTCCCTGGAAGGTATTCAGAACCAGGGACTGTGATAGCACCTTCAACGAACAGTTCAGGCTGTCTGGTAACCATAGCAATTGTCGCTCTCCTCGTGGTAAATGATATCACCCAGCAAACACCAGCTCTCAAGATTTACTTACAAGAGCGGAGGCATTTTCCACAGAGGGCATTAAGTTTGGAATTCCCTCTCCTTGGTCTGACATAATTCTAGAGTATTTGTCTTCTGGGTCTTTGTGAACCACATCAAGTTGAGTTGGCCAGTCATGAGTAAGAAATTCTAACAGGCAGGAAGAAAGTGCTAAAATGACTTTTGGTTGTGAGCAATTTGTAATTTTGTATATGTGTGTCTTTGGTTTTTATTTTGTTTTGTTTTTCTGTTTCTCTCCTTCAAGGTAACTACCCAGCCATACATAATTCTCATTCTTTGAAAATAAAATTTTAATCAGCAGTCTACATGACTTTGTTTCCGTGTTCTTACATCATGTCACAAATGATGTGATGGAGAAACCTACGGGGAAGTTTTTGTTTCTTTTGCATAAACTATTTTACAGTAATTGATCAACCATAGAGGAAAGATTATCTCCAGTGCATTCACAGTGAGTTCTCTGGTCACCAGAGACCAATAAGCTGTGTCCCCAGAACTATTATCACTTTGTTGAAGAAGCTGCTATGTGAACAAAAACCAGCCTTTGTTAATTTCCCTTTTCGTATTTAAAAAACCTTGTCAGTATTTTCCCTTTGGGAGTGTATAATTTGTCAATAGTGCACATTATTTTAGTTCTAAAGAAGAGAGATGTGGGTCAGTGTAGCCTTATTGATACCTCTTCTACATTGATCTTTATGCCACATCTTCGTATGTTTCCATTCAATAAAGTAAAATTTGCCACATTTTTATTATATTACAGCATACTTGTTTGTTGATTTCATTTCATGGAAATATACATTTTCAGAAATGTAAAACATTTTTTAGTCTAATTTGATTTCCATATCCTCCTTCCACTTCTCCTTCTCTACCCCCAGCACACACACACACGTGCCACACACACACACACACACACACACACACACACACACACACACTCCATTAACTGTTGGAGGAACTGAGGCTGGAAAGGCAAAGTGATTAGACTGAGCCTACATGATACTAAGTGATAGAATTGGGATATATTTTCTCAGTCGCTCTTTACATTGTACGCTGCAGTGTGTATTTCTGTTTTCTCTACCCAATTGCTGTGTGCTCTTCTGGATGCAGGAAAGCCCCTCATGTCCCATTAGAACTTGACCAATGCTTATTAACTAATGTCACATTACACCCCATTATTGCAGGAGCCCTGAATGTTACACCTCCATTCCATGAGCTGTTCTGTTTCACTCAACCTCCTGCGTAGATGTAAAAAAAAAAAAAAAAAAACAGTTGAAGGAGGGCCAAGTAGTATATGATAGAAAGGAATCTGAGTAAGCCTGACCATCACTGTTTCTCAGTATCTGCATTAAAGTGGAAAAACATTTTAAGGAATTATCCCATGAACCTAACATAATTTATTGAGGGTTTACATTATCTCACATGTATGGTGACTAGACTCCTATGATATATTGATTTTCTTTCCTTTTTTTTTTTTTTTTTGAGTCGGAGTCTCACTCTGTCACCCAGACTGGAGTGCAGTGGCCGCTCCCGGTCACCACGGCCTCGACCCGCTGGGCTCCGGCGATCTTTCCGCCTCAGTCGTCCAAGTAGCTGGAATTACAAGCATGTGCTACCATGCCTGGCTGATTTTTTGATTTATTGTAGAGATGAAGTCTCGCTGCCCAGGTGGGTCTCGAACCCATGGGCTCAGGCAATCCACTCACCTCAGCCTCCCAAAGGCGCGGGATTACAGGCTGAGCCACCGAGCCCGGCTGATTTTCATTTTTTAATTGTATGTTATTTCTAGAGATGGGGGGAAGGGACCATAGAGTTCATGTTCAGAATGAAAGAGTAAACATCATACATTAGCCTGAGTATATTCATTATGGATTTTGGTGGGAGAAGTTGGTTCAGGAATTGTTTGCCCTGCTGTTAGTTTATATGCATAGTAACATTCTAAATACTCACTATACACTTTGTTATAGTTTGTTTCAGTGTTGGAAGGGGTGTTGTCTAAGCTGTCGCGGTATGATGAAGGCACTTTCTTTTCATCTATTCTGTCATTCACTGTAAGTATTTGAATGAGTTATCTTCTGCTATCTTTTAACTGTTGTCATAGTGCTTATGTAGAGTTAAGAAAATAATTCTCATAATTATCTCTTTCTTTCCCACTTAAGGTGAAAGCAGCTGCAAAATATGTTGATGTTCCGGTAAGTATTTTTTCATCTACTTTTTGGAATTATATATAACTCCTAAAAAATAATTACAGTTCACCATGGGTTTATTTCAAATCCTTAAACGAGGTCCATTCCCTTAGGGAGAAGTTTATTTTCCTTAAACAAGTGCTAACCCTCATAAGGTTTGTCAAGGTTATTTCTAGTGTGCTTTTTCCACTGTAATTCAGAAACTCTTAAGAAGGCCAGGTCATCATGAGAACATGTCACCTGAGATGCAGAGGGAAGTCATAGCACTCTAGGGTAGGATAGAATATGCCTCACACTATTTATAGAAGAAGGCATGCTTTTTCTTCCCTTTCTATGAAAGCTAAACAAGTTAAAATAATAATAAAAGCTAGGTGCAGTGACTCATGCCTGTAGTCCCGGAACTTTGGGAGGCTGAGGCAGGAGAATCTCCTAAGGCTAGGAATTAGAGACCAGCCTGGGTAACTAAGCGGGATCTCATCTCTACAAAAATTAAAAATAAATAAATAAATTTGCTGAGCATGGTGGTATATGTCTATAGCCCTAGCTACTTGGAAGCTAAGGCAGGAGGACTGCTTGAGCACAGAAGTTTGAGGTCACAGTGAACTATAATCACACCACTGCACACCAACCTGGACAATAGAGTGAGACCTATCTCTCAAAAATATAAATAAATCCTGCGCCTTTGGGAGGCTGAGGTGAGTGGATTGCCTGAGCCCGCGGGTTCGAGACCCGCCTGGGCAGTGAGACCTCATCTCTACAATAAATCAAAAATCAGCCGGTCGTGGTAGCGCGCACCTGTAATTCCGGCTACTTGGAAGGCTGAGGTGGAAAGATTGCCAGAGCCCAGTGGGTAGAGGCTGCAGTGGCTGGGCGCGGCCACTGCACTCCAGTCTGAGTGACGGAGTGAAACTCCAACTCAAAAAAAAAAAAAAAAATATATATATATATATAAAACAATAAAGATAAACCAGTTAGACTGAATAATTAAGTTTTCTAGTTACAAAACTGTTGTTATTCAATAGCCACTTTTTCAACATCTGGTTTTTGACATAATTCTTGGGAATTAATTTATAATTTAAAAATTTGTTCAAAAATTAAGATGCCATGAGCAGAAAGCATAACACTGATAGCTACAATGAAAAAATCAACATGGCAAATATAGCCAACAAGTTTGTGCAGATTTTTTAAGCCGATTATCATACCAAAGTATTTTCTGCCTTAAAGTCTATTATTCCATATATGATCAAGACCTAAGGTGTTCTGTGAAATCATATATTTTGGCATATGTATCGGTTTTCAAAGAATTAGAGCACCATGAAGATAAAACCTTAAGATTTAAAACTAGATGGAACATAAATCATCTCTTCTTATTTGAGGAACGTCAAATCCCTAGCTGGCCTTTATGAATGTAACCATTTTGAGTATGGGCAAGCTGTGTGTATCAGTTATAGAGGGCTCTTATGTTTTAGAATGCCAAACCACATTTAGTCCCCAGATTTATTGCTGATGTAGTTATATTATAAATGAACATTTTAAATGAACAGGCCTTGGACTTTTCTACCTTTTTGTGGAGTTTCTTTGGAATGGGGCTTTTTATTTTACAAATGACTCCCAAAGAAGTCTTCCTATACTCCTTGTCTTTGTACCTAGAATCGGAGAATCAGTGCTGATGAACAGGCAGAACTAACCACAGGAGTAGGGTAACTAGGCGAGAGCTCATCTCTACAAAAGAGAGAAAGGGAGAGTTAAGAGAAGATTTTATACTTGATATCTTAAAATGAAACAGGCAAGTCATCTGAACTTCACTGGGCTTCCTAATACACATCTTATAATATAGTTTTGACTTTATTTCGAATTTCAGTTGGAATGTAACACCATACTTATTCATGTTCTCAGATTGTTTGAAGATTTTTGTTTGACCCTGTACTGGATTCCTTTCAGCCCAATGAATTTCAGAATTAAAAGAGACAGAATGTGGTCCATTCACTCTCATTCTCAGTGCAGAAACCCCCTCCTCTGATACTTCTCACAAAAACTCACCTGGGCTTAATTTAATTATTTCAGTGGCTACTGACTCCCCATAGGGCAGCCTACTCTTAAGTATCATGAGTTGAAATCCTGCACTCTGTGAATTCTACCCATTAATCCTGGTTCGAATTCCTCTTCTGCAAGTTAGCTGTCTACATATTTGGTGACAAGGTATGGTGGCTATTCACAGGCATGGATTGTCTGAGGAACTCCTGTATTCTAACTTAAACATTCTCAATTTCTTCACTAAACCACTAATGAAATTTTTATCTGAATACATACTAAGTGCTAGGTCCTGAGCATACATAATGAAAATGTGCATTTCTTACCCTCAAGTTGTTCACAATCTATGGATAGAGATGGGGGAATAGACATATGAACACTGCTTTAGCAATTATACTCAGACTCTCCATCATGCCAATCACTCTTCTAAATGAATTCCAGCTTACTAATGTCACTGGTAAACCAAGTTGTCCCCCAAAGTAAAACATACTATATCATAAGTGAGACCTGGCCATGGCAGATTAAGAATGAGTTTCTCCCCCAGATGTGAACATTACACTTCTATTACTGATGCCTATAAATATTAACTTCAAAAGCTATGAGATCCTGTTGGCTGTTACTCTTGTTTTATACTCAAACTCTACCAGGTATGCCTCTTTGAAGCAGCCTCTTAAGGATAATCTCATGAGAAAAAAGAGCACTGGGTCATCTTTCACAAAAATTAACTCAAAACAGAGCATAGATTTCCATGTACAATCCAAAACCATAAAACTCCCAGAAGAAAATGTAAGAGAAAATATTTATGGCCTTGAATATGGTGATAAGGTTTTAGAAATAACTCCAGAAACATGATTCATGAAAGAAAGCAAATGATAAGTTAGACAAATGGGTAAGTGCATTGCTCTGCATTTTTAAGAGAATGAAACGATAAGCCACAATTGGGGAAAAACATATTTGAAGCCAGGCACAGTGGCTGGCTTGCAATCCCAGCACTTTGGGAGGCGGAGGTAAGAGGATTACCTGAACCCAGGAGTCCAAGGCCAGCCTGAGGAACTTGACAAGACCTCATCTCCACAATCAATCAATCAATCATTCAATCAATAAAATCAGCCAGGCATGGTTACATGGGCTGTAGTTCCAGCTACTTGGAAGGCCAAGGCAGAAGGATCACCTGAGCCCAGCAGGTCAAGTTTGCAATGGCCTTGAGCTTGCTACTGCACTCCAGCCTGGGTGACAGAGTGAGACTCCAACTCGAAAAAAAAAAACTCACATACTTAATAAAGGACTTATACCCAAAATGTTCAAGGAATTCTTAAGATTCAATAATAGGAAAACTAACAATTCAGTTTTTTAAATGAGCAAAATATTTGAATAGATACTGCAACAAAGACATACAGATATCAAATGAGCATAAGAAAAGATTCTCGATATCATTTGTCTTTAGGAAAAGCAAATTAAGATAAGATATCACTATGCAACTATTAATTGACTGAAGTCTGAGAAAACTGACAACAGCAAAATGTTGACAGGGATATACAGAGCAACTCTTGTTCATTGCTAGTAGAAATGCAAAATGGTACAGCTACTTTGGAAGACCGTTTGCTAGTTTCTTAAAAAGCTAAATATAGTCTTACCATGCAACCCACCCATCACAGTCTTCAGTATTTGTCCAACTGATTTGACAACATATGCCCACGCCAAAACCTGCATGTAAATGTTCATAGCAGCTTTAGTTCATAATCACCAAAACTGAAAGCAAGCAAAATTCTCCTTTAATAGGTGAATGTTAAAAGCAGTGGTATACCCATACGATGAAATCCTATTCAGAAAAAAGCTCTCAGGCCACTTGAAGACATGGGTGAATATTGAAAGCATATTGCTAAAGGAAGCCAACTTGAAAAGGCCATATACTGTATGATTCTATTTATATCACATTCTATAAAAAGCAACACAGATTAGTGATTGCCATACGTTCATGGTTGAATTGTTAAAAGTATAGGAGATTTTTTGCATCTGTGAAACTATTCTATATGATACTGTCATGGTAGATTGATGACACTGTACATTTGTCAAAACCAAATTTTAACATAAAGAGTGAACCTGAATATATGTAATTTTTAAAAACTCAATTAGGTTATCATAGAATTCCACGATGGAAAGAAAACTATAATATAATAATTACATTGCAAATTATGAAATAACCTCACTAAAGGGAGTGGGGAAAGGTAACTTTGAAAATGAGTGGAGTCTCTACTAGATAAAGTTTTTATCCACAGGCTAACAACCCAACCGTCTCTCTGTGTATATGCTGGAATTGAACAATTAAATAAAGAGATGGTGGTTGATGGGAGCCAAGTTTCTCATTGTTGGAGTAAGAGGTTACAGACAAGCATAGGGAGACGGCTAAAATGATCCTATAATGGACTCGAGTTGGAAATGTCAGTGCAAACTCATCTGTAGCTTAAGATGGGCACAACTGGTTACCTATAACAATAATTTGAGATACATGTATTTGATGGGTTAATATATACACATGCATGTCCTTGCTGTATTAGCTGAGAGGGCCTAGTAGCAATGACACCCCAGGAGTAACAAGCACATGTAGCACTCAGACCTTGGTCTCTGATCTACAGTAAAAAAGGCCAAGGCTCCATGGAGAAATGGCATACGCTAGAAAATGTACAAGATGTCCCTGGATCATCATGTAGCAACAGAAAGGGAGTGTTCAGAAAAACCACAAGGGTGGGAAGTGTGTCAGAGGGACACAGGAGACAACTGAATGAGCTCCTAGTGGCCTAAGCTAGAACAATTTAAGCAACCAAATAAAGTAGTATTGGATTATATCCCAAAGCATAAAGTAAATATCCGTTAGTCCATACTGATATAAACACATGATTGAATAAGTGTACATGAGGAAAAAAGGTAAATCTCCCATGCAGAAAAAAAAATCTAAACAAGTAGGTATTTCTCCCTCA